CTTCTTTATAGCTGAGTAATACTCCATTGTGTAAATGTACCAAAGTTTCTTAATCCAGTCATCTACCGATGGGCATTTCGGTTGTTTCCAAGTCTTAGCTACTGTGAATGGCGCCAAGCCAACTCTTAACCAACGTGCCACATGGTCGGCCCCTGTGTGTGGAACTTTTACATCTTAAAACATGCAGCTTCAGAGGCCTTCCTGTGCTTTAGGGCCCACTTGGCTCAGGTACACACCCAGCAGTTCTGTAGAGAAGAGTGTGTCCTGGGAAGATGCTCTTGCTTGGATATTGTACCCCAGGACAGGTGCCAGGCCCTGGGCAATCGGGGGCAGACCCATGGCACTGACTCAGCTCCCCTGCCTCTTTCCCTCCCCACGTTTGGTGTTTCTGAGAACTAGAGGGATCTCTTATGGATGATGGCAATGAAAGTGAAAATCATAACTCATAAAAGCAGTGACATTACTTATTATGTGCCAGGCACTATATTCAGCCCTTTCCATGCCTTATCTCATTTTAATCTTCACAGCCAACCTAAGAGGTAGATACTATTATTAGCCTCATTTTACAGATGAAGAAACAGAGGCTCAGAGAGTTAAACCCAAGTACACAGTAAGTGTTAGAGCTTTTGACTCCAGGGCTCTGGTATTACTTGTGGTGTCAAGTAGATGGTGTTTCCTTTTAAGTGGACAATGGGAACAGCAGGACAACAGTCACCCCACCCCTAGAGGAAACCCTTTTAGGAGCAATAAGCCATCCACTTGGGCTGGACCTCAAAATAGGGGTGGGATGGCAGTAATGGCTAAAGGCAAGGGCTCTGGAATGAGACAGCCTGGGTTGGAATCCTGAATCTGCCATTTACCAGCTGTGTGGCCTTGGGCAAGTCCCTCAATTTCCTTTTGCCTCAATTTCCTAATTTCTAAAAGGGGAGTAATGAGATTTTCTACCTCATTTGGTTGTTACAGTAAATGAGTTAACATATACAAAATGCTTCTAACAGTGCCGAATACATAGTAAGGATTCAAATAAAAATTAACAATAATTATTATGTTTAGTGGCAAAAGGCCTTAGGGGTGGCTTGGGCAGGCCCAGGAGAGCCTAATGGGCCAAGAATAGGAGGCTGAGACCAAGGCAATAGGGGCTTCTGGGGGCTTGTGACAGGTCTGTGATGATAAGGTAGTGGTGCACAGATGGATGGAGAAGGGGCAGGCCAGGGGTCTGGAGGCCATTTCGGGGCTACTGCAGTGCCCCAGGGGTCAGGCAGTGGGTCCTAAGTGGGAAAGGGCTGCCAGCAAGGAATGGCTACTTTGGCCTTGGCCACGTGGGGGCGCTCGAGGCAAGCCTCCCTGAGCTTATTAATAGAAGGGCTCCTGGACTTGTAAGGGAGATAAAGAAGGTTTATAGGGGCTGGGGCTGGGGCAGGGGCATTTCTCACCCATGGGACACACTTTCCAGACTCCTGTTATCTCCTCCAGTGCTGTTCTCCCAGCCTGGCCAGGAGCTGGCAGGGGCCGCACATCCCTGGGGGGTTGATAAAAGGATCCAGGAATGTGGTGTTGGTGGGACCCAGCACCAGGGGCTGAGGGGTGGGCTGGAAAAGTCTTCTTAATGTCCCTAATCTGGGGCAGCAGCCCCACCTCCCTGATTCAAGATGTGGCTGGAAAGCCCTGCTTGCTGTTGCCTTCTCACCTGCAGCTGCAGGCTCCAAGGCCAGTGGATGAGGCCCTCCTTCCGCAGTGCGAGGTGATTAGGGGGCTAACACAAGAGTGCCTCCTCCCTCCTGGAGCCTCATCCTCTGTGCAGTTTGAGGGGCAAGGGGGGGCGTGCAAGTGTCTTTGTAGCCAAGACCAAAGCTGACTAGATGGGCTGTGGGGGCCCAGCAGTCTTCCTAAGGAAATCCCATCAGCTCTGCCTGCCCTGTTTGGGGTAAAGGGGATACAGGAGGCAACTGTCTCTCCCTGCAATGATAGGCAGCTTTGGGGGGCTTCCTAAAGGATGCTGGGGCCACCCTGATATGTCCAGTCAGCAAGCTAATTCACCAGGCCCCTGGGAGGTACAGGATCTGGGCCTAGGAGGTGGGTGAGTTGCAGTGGCCAGAGGCCCTAGACATCCTGCCCTAATGGTGAGCCTCAGGGCTGAAGGATCAGCGGATGGTTTGAAATCCCAGTCACCCCAGCGTGTTGCTTTGTCCTCAGTGCTGGAGCCTTTGAGTTGAGGGTTCCTGACACCTACTGTGTGTGTGTGTGTGTGTAGGGGGGGGGGAACGGGGGCTGAGAGGAGGGATGCCCCTGGCCTGACCTTGGGAAATCTCACCGTTTCTGGGCCTCCAGCTCCCTTCCTCCCAGAGCCACTATTGGAAAGCCTCCAGGAAGTCAGGCCCACCTTTTTCTCATGATGGCTTGGTGGTCGCTATGGCTTGGGGGTGGCAGTGTGGATTGCTGGGGAGAGCAGACCCTCTTGGTTTCGCTCCCAGACTCCCTATCTGCCAGTGAGAGAGTAGGGGCTGCTGCGAGGCCACCCTGCCAGGCAGACAGCGGCAGGAGTGGGCTGGGCTGCTAGGTGGGGCCACAATCCCAAGGAAGAGTTCCCTTGGACGCCAGCATTAGCTGGCGGGATGGCATTTTCTGCCCAGGTAGGATCACTGTTTCCTGTCTGGGTCTGAGGTACTTGTTCAGGGGGACTTTGTGTCACATGTGAGCAGGTATGGCATAGGTTGGCTCCGGGACTTCTGCTCTCTCTGCCCATGCAGGCAGGTAAGCTCAGCAGTTTGTCCCTGGGCCGTCCTGGCCTGCAGAGTTTTGTGGGAGTGGGTAGCTTTGGAGGCAGAAGCATCCTCATGGTGGAAGCAGGGCAACAGCTAAGCGTTCTCGGAGCTTGGGCTGCAGCCAGGTGAGACAGATGGAGCACCGTTTCAGGCCAGGTTTCTAGGTAGTACTCAGCCATTCCATGCCCCTTTACCTTTCACTCCACCAGCAAATAGCCACTGAGCAGCTTCTGTGGGCCAGGCACGGGGGATGTCATCGCGAATAAGATGGACACTGACCTTGCCTCACAGAAGTTTGGGAAGATCAAATGAAACATAGGCTAGGAAGCGGAAATGTAAAATGGAAGGTGCCTCACAAACGAAGTCGTTGGTTTCCCGGGAAGTAGAGAGGGACAGGGTTCTTCTCCTTGCTCCTCTCTGAACAGGGGCTGACACACCTCAGGCCCAGGGCCGCCCGGGCTCCAGCACAAGCGAGCCCTCAGCAGCAATGCCCAGTTCAGGCAGCAGAGGGCAGCAAGGGGTCTGCCTGCCTGGAAAGCGGCCTTTAAGGATGTGGTGGTGGTGGGGGGTGGGGGGTG